ATATATATATATATAATTTATCTTGATCTGTACTTTTCCAGGCATTTTAAAGCTTTCTGTATTTTGACTTCAAGTCCACATAAAAGAAAATGAATGACTATAATGATATAGTGCAGTTTGTGTTAAAACTGAGGATAAGTGACGGACAAAAAAGTGTTTGGCCTGATAAATAAACAGCTTTGAAACTTCTATATTTTAGGTACAGTGGGGAGTCATCTTGTTGGTCCTAATTTACTATTTTTTGTATCAAAATGCTATCTTTTTCATTTATCATAAATTCAAATGAAGATATTGGAATAATTTCTGTTTTTGTTGTGAGACTATTGGAAACAAAGTTACTAAGTAGCTAGCTAGTACTTTAGCTAGCAGCTTGCTAATAAACTGTAGGAACAAATTGGACCTTTTGTGAGAGGTTAAAATAGGTTATTACTACTGTGAATCAAACTGGATGTTTTTAAATGGAACTGGTGGAAATGGACACAAAATAAAGACCTTAATACGACAGATTTAAATGTTATGAACTACCACCACAATGTTTGTGTTTTTTCTTTTCTTTTTTTATTAGTACTGTAACTGTGTAATGTTCAGGTTCCATTTTTGTTCATCTTTTATGTTGACATTTCAATTCAATTCAAAAAGTTTATTCATTTCATTAAAAATAATTATATACAATAAAAACAAAGGAAATACACAAATCAAAATAAAATGAAAGGTAGCAGAAAAAGAATAAATCTTATAATGTCTGCCCCTTTTATCCCCAGAATATATTCAAACAAAACATAATTCACAAAACAATAAAAATAAAAACATCAAGTCAAACAACAATTCATATAGCTTCTCACTTTACTTTCCCATATACCTTCAGAAAACTAGTTTTTAAATGTGTCGCGGCAAAGATAGTCAGAAACACGGCGAAAAGGGTGTTTAAAAGACAAGTCTTGCGGGTATGATTTATAAAGTCATTTATTGATGGGCAGACATGAAACAGAAAGCAATCACGAAGTCTGTAAGTTGTGGGCCCGGCTGTCATAGGCCGGGCAAGCAAAGTTATACTGTCAGCTATCATCATGTGATAATGTTTAACCAACCAGGAACCGCCTCGTTCTGGTAC